TCAAGAACCATCTATATAACCTTCCAGCCCACAAAGATTATGCAGTGGGATCATATTTAGTTACCCATGTGCAAGAAAAGTTAATTTTACAGTGTTGGGTCAAAATTTTAATGGGTCCAATCTATTACTGTAGCGGGTCGGGTCCATTACATACTGGATCCGGTCTTCCTTAATGGGTTATAGGGTTATCTAACTCAAATAATAAATGGTATTTAATTATACTAATTAATCTAATTATTTATTTAATTAAATTAATTAATTAATTATAACCCTAATTAAAACCCTAACCCTAATCCCACCCGACCAAGAGGCTGCGGCCGCCATCACCCATTCCTGGCCCTCCGTGACCCGGCCCTCCGCCGACGGCTGCATCCTCGCCGACGACCAGATCAGCCATGGTCATGGCCAGATTGAAATTTGATCTTTGCGGTTAAGTGCTGACGAGAAACAATGGAACCAACATCTTTTCTGCGGCTATGCAGTTTGATGAAATCGAAAAAAAAAACTCAAAAGAACCCAGAGATGACCCATCGAACAATTCAAAGCATGCGGCCATGCCTGGAGTTTTCTTCATCTAGTGGCAAAGATGAAATTATTGTAGATCAAAAAGAACTCCAGCAGCAAAGACTGAAATCAAACAATTCAAAGCATGCGGCCATGGCTGGAGTTTTCTTCATCTAGTGGCAAAGATGAAATTATTGTAGATCAAAAAGAACTCCAGCAGCAAAGACTGAAATCAAACAATTCAAAGAATGCCGCCATGGCTGGAGTTTTCTTCATCTAGTGGCAAAGATGAAATTATTGTAGATAAAAAAGAACTCCAGTAGCAAAGATTCATCCGAATAAAAAAAAACTTTAATTAATCCAAAAAAATTTTTAATTCCAGATCAAAATTCATGCACAAACTGAGCTCTGATACCACTATTGGATAATATAACGATCTAGATATGAATAATTGAACTAGAAATTCAGATTAAAGTTACCGTTCACCGACGAAAATACTGGAAGTCTTCTCCTCTCTCCTCCCGTAGCCAATGATGGGAATTAGGTCTTTTTTTCTGCATACGGTTGAGAGGAGGGACTCCCACCCTTTATATAGATATTTGTGATTAACCCTACCCATCATGGTTTAATCACAACCGTGGGATTACACTCCGGTCGATCCTATCCTTTAGATATTCAAGATAACCACCCAACTTGATAAACATGAAACTGTCTAACCAGACTATGTGGTTAGCATCCTGATCCTAACTTGAATCGATGACAACTTTAAATCAAATCCAAAATCGAGTAGGTTGGGCCACATGGGTTCGTTGGATTAATCGAACCCAACATACAGTTCATAGCTTCTTCCCATTGGTCAGTAAGTATCCATGGAGCATATTAAACAGGTGTTTTCTTTAGGGTACATGTCTTTTGGTCAAGTAGGCTATTCTTTTCTGCACAAAGTAACAGCATACTGTTAGATGTCAATATTGGATAGCTCCCACTCCCTGCTTTGCAAGCTTAATTTGGATTACCATGACATACCGGTCATTTTACCTTCTTTCATTTTCCTTCTTCACTGTGATCCCTTTCGTATTGTAAATTTGTAATAGACGACTAGATATTAGTCTAGCTGAGGTTACGGTTGAATTTGATTGGTTTCATGATTGTTCAAAGTTATTATTAATGTTATGATCTTATCTATACTTTCTTTACTGGTTTGTTGAAATTAGCACCTCACGGCGTTCATGTAATGGTGAATGCATCTCACTGCACTGATGTTTTTTTTCCCGCAGGTATTCAACTGGCCTTGGCGTCTCAGGTGGTAGTGCATTAATACATGAATTTTATTCAAGGGAAGTAGCAAACGCAATTCACTTGACTGTAGATACTGGGTTTACAAATGGGGAGGCTTCCATAAAAGCTTATGTCTCTGTCAATTTGTCTCTTGGAGATCGGCAACTTGCAGCACAATTTCATGAAATTCCCCTGGACCTGAGGATGATTGAGGCAGAGCAAATTGGATGTAAGACCATCACTTGAATGCCTGCCAACTTACATTCTAGTAAATTTAAAACTTTTTTCTTTGTTATCAGGTCCTTCTTAGTTTAGACTTTATTGCAAAGTTATTCTTTGCTAATCTAGGCTCACCCTGTCTATCATCAGGCTAGACATTGTCATCAGTTTGGACTTTGCATTGCAGTTTACATCCTTTGTTCCACGTCTCACAAGAAAGAAACAGAAAGAATGTCACAAATTGTACTGACGATTCATGTTAATTATGTCAATTTCTGGGCCTGATGTTAGAAGTGAACATAAAAATAATGCACGTTTGAGTGTTTACTGAGACTTTTGAATTATAATTGATTCAACAGTTGCATTTCCATGACATAAAAGATAACAGGTTTTGCTTTCAAGTTTAATTGCTGACATTTTTCTGACTAACTGTCCTCTACAGTCAATATTTTAAAGAAGACAACTGTAGACAAGCTTCCGAATGATTTGGAATGGATGGGAGCTTCTATTGAGCATCTCTATGCTCAGATGGAAGATGTCTACAAATACGTGGATGGAGTTGTTGTAAGTTCAATCACTATTCCTCATTGTAATCTCCCTCTTATTAGCCTCTTGCTCTCTGCATTCTATTTATCTCATGTTCTTTCTCTTTAGGAAGGGCGTGTGACAGCCGATAATAATATTGGGAGATTAATTGCTGCTACTTTGGCATCAATGCCAAAAATGTCACCAGCTGTTTTTGACAAGGTTTTCAATGACCGTATCCAGGTACTGGTTCTTTTTGTGTTGGTTCTGGCTTAGTATGGTTTCCCTTGTTCGTGGATTATCTTAAGGTTGCTGCTGCTGCTTTTTTTTTACAGGATAATTATGCATTAGTTTACTTATCAAGCCTCGCCAGGACACAACTCAGTATAGCGGAGAAGCTGAATACTGCTGCTCAGATCTTGTAATTTTACTACGAATGTGTTGGGCAAGCCCTGCTTCTTTTCCTTTTCCAGTGCCAATCATCAAACTAGGAATTTTAAGGAGATTAGGAATTTTCTTATTGTTGCTCAGTTTTTAGTTATCTGGGTTTTCTTTTTGGAAGATGTTGAGCTTGGTTAGTGTAATTCATTTTGAAACTTGTTCCTGAAAACTATACCGTATACATTAGTGGATGCACTGTAATGCCTTTGAGCCCAAAGATATACCTTGGCGTTTATCCTGTCCTTTATCTGGTCGGGCATCGTTGTTGAGTTCTAACCAAAGTGATGTCCACACTTAATAATTTTTGAGCAGCAGTATATAGAAGTACACAGTTCATTTTGCCCGCTGAGTGCACAGTTTGCGGAGCTGCAACTTCTGAAGAATTTCTTCGAGCTTCAGGTTTGACACCGCTTATTGTTCTAGCTCGCATATATCAGTGTCGGACTGCACAAGGTCTGCTTATGAACTATATTCCGCTTTTAAGCTGTGGTATAGTGTGCTTGACGGTCATATTAACGAAACCGTGTTCAGTAAGGTTTAAATCCAACAATAAGTAAGTTGTTAACTGCAAAGCTTTTACTCAGGATGCCCTTAACACAAAATTCAAGCATATGTTCGGCGGCTTTTCAACTCTTAACGTTAAACGGTATTCTTTTTACGGTCCCTGAGTGAAGCCCCACCGTTCAATAAGCGAGTAGAGCAGGTGCTGGGGTCGTGTCCAATCCATAGCCTAAAGCTAAAATCAGCACAAGAGGATCATGAGGCCCCATGCATCCAACTTTCCCCCCTCCCCAATTCTCATGGTCGAGATAAAAGCCGCTTGTGGATAGCTCGTGCTCCCAGCGCCTCTCATTCAGAGGCCTGCCCTTCACACACCAATTAATCACGATATTTACAACACCTTGCGGGGGGTCTCAACATACTCACTCCCATTAGCAACCACGAAGGGAGAGTAGGTAGAGGGAGAAATCTACGAAGGGAAAGTAGAGAGAGAGAGAGAGAGAGAGAGAGAGAGAGAGAGAGAGGACATGGCTTCATTGAACATGGCTTTCGGAATTGCGACAGCAAGAAGCAAAGTGTTTGTGCCCAAGGCAACAAAGGGCGGGGGGAGCGTCCAAGAGGAGAAAGGCCCGCTGGATTGGATACTCGGATCACTGCTGAAAGAGGACCAGCTTCTTGAAACCGATCCGATCCTCAACAAGGTAGAAGGGAAGAGCGCTACCGAGGGGTCCAAGAAGTCGACCACCTCCGTTTCCGTTCCGAACAAGAAGAAGTTTGGTGGCTTCGGCGGCCTCTTTGCCAAGAACTGAAATTTACCTGCGTCTGTAGACTGTAGACGCTCCCTTTTATTATTATTACGTACACAGACAAATTAATGTTAATTTCTTTTCTAAACTGCAATATTCTATGGCTCTTGCCGCTCTTTCACTCTGCAATGTCACATTTATTCAACTTGTGAGTTGATTTCATTACGAAACATTCAATGGTGTTGTTGTATACAGGGTTTAGTTCTTATGATCTTTGTGGCTTTGTCGCTTTTAACATTTTCAGCTAAAATGTTGATTTATTGAAACCTTTATAAATGTAATGCTAAGAATAATTAATTGTTTTGGAATACGAAAGCAAGTTTAATATTCGACATTTTATGACACTACCACATAATTGATCTATTACAGCAGTTAAGGCGCAACAGTTTTAACTGTTGCGTTAGAGATCTATCGTAACGATTTTCAGTGTCTAATACAACATTTAATGGAAAATGTTGCCATAGACCTAATAATTGTTCATGTGCTTAATAATTGTTCGTGGGCTTTGGGAGCTAAAGTTTTTAAAGCCATCTTAAAGCCCATGGTCTGACCGCTAGCTTAAACGAAATCTCTCTCTCTCAAATGCTCACGGAAAATTTTGGCCAATGGTCTGACCGCTTAAACAAAATCTCTCTCTCTCTCTCTCTCTCTCTCTCTCTCTCAAATCCCTAAAATCGCCATGGCCAAATTTTCCGCTCCCTAAAATCGCCGTGGCCAAGATCATCATATAATCGTCAATCTCATCACTGAACTCGTCGCCGTTTTCATCTTGGATCTCATCTTCGAGCTTGTTGTCATTCTCTTCGTTGATCTACTCTTGTTGGTTTCGTCGCCGTTTTTAGTCCTCGCATTTTCTCCGTCCTGTTTTCTAGGGTTTGCTCCAGAAATCGAGCCCATATCTCGCTAACGGGAGCTTTCTAGGGTTTGCTCCACCTATCTCTTCTCATGATATTTGATCAAATCAGGAGGTTCGATCTTTCGTACTTGAGATCGAAAGACCCCTTGATTTTAGGTATTTTTCCATCTAAGGAGTTGATTTGTGTGCGGGATCCATTTGTGATTTTATTAGATTTTGGACCTGAATGTTTGTTTGGAGTTTATGCGGTTAAAATGAACCTTATATGGATCTATCTAGTTAAGTACTTTTATGATATATTTTGTGTTCTGCATCATGATTGGGTGATTGTTAGGATTGAAGAGTGAACTACTAGTTATTATCATCAGTTAATCTTAGAAACTTTGGATCCTGTTGTTCGGTACTGGTTAGGTTTTTGTTTGCTTGCTATTGAACTATAGGGTTTTTTTTATCTTTAATGGTATAGTTTTGATGACCTTCAGAATTGAAAGGTAGCTTGAGGACCTGTGTAATGTTGATAAAAGCTAACAAGCTCCTCTTTGATTTGTCATTAATATATTTTGAGAAAAAGAGGGGATCACATTAATATATTTTTTGAGAAAAAAGAGAATCCCATTAATATATGTGTATTCACTTTAGTATATTTCTGCCATCATCGAGAAATAAAAGTAATAAAAAGATTAGCGGTGCAGTTTGTTGTCCGCTTGTAATCATTACATGTGTAATATTTTATTCAAAATATATTCTAGGTTTTTAATAATTTTTTTAAAAAAGGAACACTGCAAGTAAGGCTGAGCATGGTTAGGGAAAAAACCGACCGAACCGAACCGAAATTAACAATTCGGTTCGATTTTATAAGTAGAGCAGTTTGGGTCGGGTTCAAAACTTTTCAAACCGACCCGAACCGAACCGACCGAACTCTTCTAAATACCCATTCAGGTCTGAATTTCACTCAACCCGACCCGTCCTCATTCCCCAAATACTCATCTCAAACCCTAACGCCTCGTTTGGTACGTGGGAATGAAGTCAAGTGAGAATGGAATGAAAGAAGGAATGGAATGGAATGTATGTGAGAATGGAATGGTCATTCCCATTCTCTTGTTTGGGTGCGTTTGTAGAATTAAGCTAGAATGAAAATCTAATTCTCATTCACATGTTTGGTATCACTAGTTCACAAGTGAGAATGGAATCACATTTTCTAATAATGCCCTTATAACAACATAGATTTTTAATAAGATAAAAATAAACATTAATGATAATAACTAAAAAAATTTATTTATGCATATGTTATTGTAGGCGTATAAAACTGCTTATAGGTCCCTTGACACAGCTCGGCGCGATGATTCGACAAATCGACGAACGTTCAAGCAACGAAACGAACTAAAGAGGCTACAAAGCTAACGAACTGCATGTGAACAACGTTAGTGGTTCGGGGAGTCGACGGGTCTTCCAACAAAGTGGATTTGAACTCAAACACCGACTGAGTTTACTGCCAAATCCGGAATCAAGTCAACAAATCAACAAAACAACCGAACAACGGACAAAACAACCGGAAACAACGGAAAACGACAAAACCAGCGCACCTGGGGGAACTCGGCCCGAACCGAACCACCCTAAGGTGGCTCGGCCCAAGCCGAGCCACCCTAGGGTGGCTCGGTGGCCGAGCCACCCCAGGGTGGCTCGGCCAACCACCCCAGGGTGGCTCGGCCAAGGCCGAGCCACCCTGAGGTGGCTCGGCCAAGGCCGAGCCACCCCTGGGTGGCTCGGCTATGGCCGAGCCACCTAGGGGTGGCTAGGCTCAGAACTGTGCAAACGCACAGTTCTGAGAGCCTATAAATAGGCCTGGTACTCGTTCATTTGGGGGAGCTTCTGAAACTTCTGAGAGAGCCAAAACTCTGCCGGATTGTCACCTCAACTCGGAGATCTGAAGGCTTGAAGACTTGGAGACCCGGATTTGATTCTTAGCGAGCACCCGCGCCGAAAAAGGCAGGAGTTCGAGAGAGTTTAATCCTCAGATCTACGTCGTTACACTCCGGATCTAAGCTTGGCTCTTAGATCCCGAGATTCGAGCGGTCGTTTCCTTGGTGAAACGATCCCTCCCGGCTATTATCTCCTTGGTGGGATAATACCCGTAATACGTCGTAGATCTGCTTGGATCCAGATCACGCGGTGGTCCACGGTAAGCAACCCCGGCGCAGGCAAACAACCCACAGAAGCAAGAGACCGGATAACAGGATCTTGTGATTTGTTCGGTAAAAGAGAGAAGTTGTAATTTTGATTTCTTTGTTTTATTTTGATTTTCATTGTAAGCCGGATCTTATAAAAAGACCGGATCTCTTTGTAACGCATAAAGTTGTTAACTGAGTGCAATGGAATCGATAATGAAGAAAACACCAACTTTCCCCGCGAACAGCAACGTGTACCAAGTCAAGCTTAATTGAAGATCAAGATTGCTTGGGTAATGTAGTTTAGCATTTATATTATGTGTGTTAAGTACTCTAAGCTCAATTATCTATACACACACATTTTATTAGTTTCCTTGTATATATATGTAATCACATATATATACAACACAAGTTTTGGTTTTCATGTTTATAAATATGAAATTACATGTTTCATATTGTGATTTGGTTTATCTACTTAGATATGAAACAAATATATTTTCATATACATACTCATAGGTTTCATTTTCTATTGTATTTGTGAAAATACTGTATTCTTAGTTTATAGACTTCAATATCAGTTTATACATGTTTTACTAAGTCTATAAAAACATTTCACAAAGTTTCAAAAGTTGGTTTATGTCAAAACATCAAAATTCAAGTATCTCATATTTTCATGTTTTGGACTATTTTGTAAAATGATGATATTTTTCATTTGGGAAGTCCTTTTTCGAAACCAGTCATTGTAGCATGTTTATTATCATGTCTACAATCATTCCCCAAAGTTTTACATTTTTTGGAATTTATTTGATATTTTTAAACAGCGTTTTAAAATCAGCAAAACAATTTTTGAATATGTCAGATTTCGGTCGACCGCACCGGTCGACCGAACCTGAGGTCAAAAGTTCACTGGGCGACAGAAAGCCTGTCGGTCGACCGGTCCGGTCGACCGATGAAAATTTTCGGTCGACCGACGAATTTTCCGGTCGACCGACGAGTGTTCCTTCAGCTTCCAACGGCTAGTTTTTTGACCGTTGCCTTGGGGCTGTTTTGTCTTTTGCTCTGGTTTCTTGGCTGAGTTGTGAGAGGGTATAAATACCCCATTGTCCTTAACTCTCAAGCTATCTAAGAGAATGTTTTAACAAGTTTTAAACAAGGGTTTAAACCTGTTTAGTTTTGGTTTAAGTTTGTTTTGG